TGGGACAAACCCAGCCCAGCCTCACAGGAACAAAGGACATTGGCCTAGGCAGCAACAAAGGATCTGTTGGATTCTCGAGTGAGTCACCCCCCTTCCTTTGGTTGGTTTGGGACTACAATGAGGTAATGCTCACCTGACTCTGAAGGGGGGGGGGGGGGCAAAGCCAAGAGGGAAGAAAACCATTCCTGCCCATCCTAATAGCCATTGATGGACCTATTTTCCATGAATCTATCTAGCTCCCTTTTGAACCCCGTTACAGTATTGGCCTTCACAACACCCTCTGGCAAGGAGTTCCAGAGGTTGACAGTGCGTTGCATGAAAAAATACTTTCTTGTGTTTGTTTTTAAACTGGCTACCTATTAATTTCATTTGGTGGCCCCTTGTTCTTGTATTATGAGAAGGAGTAAATAACACTTCCTTATTTACTTTCTCTATACCACTTATGATTTTATAGATCTTTTTCATATCCCTGCTTAGTCGCCTCTTTTCCAAGCTGAAAAGTCCCAGTCTTATTAATCTCTCCTCATACGGAAGCAGTTCCATACCCCTAATCATTTTTGTTGCCCTTTTCTGAACCTTTTCCAATTCCAATATATCTTTTTTGAGATGGGACGACCACATCTGCACACAGTATCCAAGATGTGGGCGAACCATGGATTTATACAGCGGCAACATGATATTTTCTGTCTTATTCTCTATCCCTTTCTTGATTCCCAACATTCTGTTTGCTTTTTTGACTGCCGCTGCACATTGAGTGGATGTTTTCAGAGAACTGACTCCAAGATCTCTTTCTTGAGTGGTAACAGCTAATTTAGACCCCATCATTGTACATGTATAGTTGGGATTATGCTTTCCAATGTGCATTACTTTGCATTTATCAACATTAAATTTCATCTGCCATTTTGTTACCCAGTCACCCAGTTTCGTGAGATCCTTTTGTAGCTCTTCACAGTCTGCCTGTGACTTACTATCTTGAGTAGTTTTGTATCATCTGCAAATTTTGCCAGCTCACTGTTTACCCCTTTTTACAGATCGTTTATGAATGTTAAATAGGACTAGGCCCAGTACAGATCCCTGGAGGACATCACTATTTACCTCTCTCCATTCTGAAAACTGACCATTTATTCTTACCCTTTGTTTCCTATCTTTTAACCAGTTACCAATCCATGAGAGAACCTTCCCTCTTATCCCATGACTGCTTCTTTTGCTTAAGAGCCTTTGGTGAGGGACCTTGTCAAAGGCTGAAAATCTAAATACACCATATCCACTGGATCTCCTTTGTCCGCATTCTTGTTGACCCCCTCAAAGCATTCTAGTAGATTGGTGAGGCATGATTCCCCTTTACAAAAACCATGTTGACTATTTCCCAACAAATTATGTTCATCTATGTGTCTGACAATTTTCTTCTTTATGATAGTTTCAACCAGTTTGCCTGGTACTGAAGTCAGGCTTACTGGCTCCAGCCCAGAAGTCTGAGCTGAGCAGGAACGGTGTGACTGGACAGAAAGAAAATGGAAGTGAAGGCCATTGCACCCACCTCCCCAGCCCATGTTGTTAAAGACCTACACATCTTCATTTATACATCTCCTGCAGTCCTCTAGGCATCTGCTCCCTCCTGCACCATTTACTCAACGCTGTTAACTCATTGTAATCGGATCCTTCCCCCTCCTACCTTACACATAATGAGGAGCATTAGCAAAGTTAACCACACTTCAGAAAATCTAGCTAGTGGCATCCTCAGAGCAATCTGCTCCGGCTCTCTGCAGACTCCAGCAGCATTGTCGCTGCAGTCACACTTCAGCCATCTCACCTTCTCTGAGCCATTGGCTCAGGCTATCTGCAAACTCTGGCAGAGGTTGCTGCAGCAGTCACACTCAGATCATCAGAACAGTAAGAAGGAGTTTTTGTTCTATAGGAAGTGGAGGTTCCAGAGAACAATTGAGAGGCTCCTGGTGGCCCCACCAACTCTTTCCTGACTTCCCCCCGGGGGCATTTTTCAGACTTCAGAAGACACAGGTCTAAGAACTTGACCTCAGGGCTGGAAGCTATGGGTTGCCGTGCTCCAATCCCAGTCCTGCCGCTGAGTCACTTGTGTGACCTTGCACACAGCCAACGCATCCCCACTTCCCCATTTGTAAAATGGGGTTACCTACCCTTCTCACAGGAGTCCAAGCTCAATAAATATTCAGAGCTAGTGAAAGAAGTAACTGGGGATGGTTGAAACTTTGCCACCAACTTTTCTGTTTTTTGACAGAAAATTAAGCTGTTGACTAACCAAAAATTTTCCACAAATAGTACCCATTTCCCATGGAAAAAATTGAGTTTTTGTTTAAAAAAAAGAAGAAAAACGAAAAACAACACCCCAAAACACAAACATTTTGATTCCAAAGCAGTGCCTTTTTCTCTCCTTCTCCTCTTTGGGCTGGGCTCCCTAGCTGAACTATATTTCCCATGAAGCCTCAAGCCCAAATCCCTCATGTACCGCCCCTTCACCATGAAGGGACACCATGGTGCATCATAGGAGATGTAGTCCCCTGACAGCACTCCACCCTGAGAGAATGGCAGAATGAGCCATTTGAACTACAACTCCGATAAGGCAGCGTGGCAGCATTTCAGAATCAAAACATTTCAGCATTTGATGGTTTTTGCTGTAAACTCAACATTTTAGTGGAGAATTTCAACCCCCCCCCCCCGCCCATCAAACAGAAAAAATAAAAATTCTGAGCCACTCTCCCAGTACTATAAGTAGGTAAACAGGCTGAAGAGACCTGAATGGCACTGGATTCGACACACAAAACAGTGAAAATCAAATACTCAACATGGTTGGAATCTCCCATATTCATACACCTCTCTGAGAGACGCCCTTCAAAGCCGCTCCTCCTGCTTAATGCACATGTGTGGATCCTAGATTCTAAGCTGTAATCAGCTACGCTGACCTCCTGTGTAACACAGGTCAGAGAACTGCCTCCAAATCATTCCTAGAGCAGAGCTTGTAGGAAAACATCCAATTTTGATTTAAAAATGGCCAGTGATGAAGAATCCACCATGCCCCTTGTTAAGTTGTTCCAGTGGTTAATTGCCCTCAAGGTTAAAAAGTTATGCTTCATGTGTGGTTATCTCCTCAGTTCATCATACAGCAACTGTTTTGGCATTCCAGTGTCATCCATCCTCAACGCATGACCAGCCCAGAGCAACTGACATGATGCACGTGGCTTCTGTCCCTGCAGGGCGGCTGCATTCAAGAACCTCGTTATCGAGAACTTTATCCTTCCAGTTGATGCAAAGGATGCCACACAGATGTTGTAAAGGTACTTACACACTGTGATCAAGACACCCCTTAACCTTCTCTGTTAAGCTATACATTCTGAGCCCCTTGCATCCTGTTTGAAGCAGCAAAGCCAACAGGGCATCTCCAGAGAAGTAATTTATGGTGCCTGTTTCTGCTAGTCAAAGATATAGCACAGATTTCCTTTCTGCTGCAGATTGCAACTTCCTTAACACCCACAACAGCCATAGCTCCTGCACTAGTTGATCTCTCCAAGTCCCTTTCACTGTACATTTCTAGGATTCTGTGATGATTATTAAATTCCAGTAAAGCAGGGATTGCAGAGGCTGAAATCAGGGCCCCACTGTCTAGCCACTCCCTGCCCCCAGGAGTTTAGAGTCAAGTAGAGATAGTGGGAAATTTTTCAAGGATTTTTTAAAAATTATTTTTGGCCAAAAACTGTCAGTTCATTGACACCAAAACTGTTTGCAGAACAGTGTCAGTACTGACTCGTTTCCCAACTCAAAAAACCGTCGAGAAAAAAAGTTTTGAAGTTGTCTAACATCTCCCGGTTGTTTTCAAAATTAAAAGTATCAGGTTCACCTTTGGAAAGATCCTTCATGTTTTAAAATTTAATGTAATTTGTGCTAAAAAAGAAAAAAAAGCTTAAAGAAAAAGAATCAAAATTGAACAAAACATTTCAAAATGGAGAAAAAAAATATTTCAATTGACCCAAACAGATTCTCTTCCCCGCATTTTCCTTTGCAAAAAGTTGACAGACATTTTGGCTCCATTTGGGATGAAAAACCAAATTGAAATGCTGGAAATTCTCCCAGGCTGGGAAGACCATTTCCTGGCTGGCCCTACAGCCTACAAAACCAAGACAAAGGCAGGGACGGGAAGAACACATGGTTACGCTCCAGTTCTAACTCTAGTTAAGGAATGGTTTGAGGACAGGTCCCTGCCCTGTGTTACACAGGGCAGAAAAGATGGTCACAATGTTCCTACTGGCCTTGGAATCTGAGTCACCTCAGTGTCATTGATAGGGAACAGCAACCCAACCCCCAAAGGATTCCTGAAATCAATGGAATTTAGGCACCTAAGTACCTTTAGGGATCTGGGCCTAAATAATTTGGGGAGAGAAAGTGTGTGGCACAACTGAAGCCAGAGCTGCTGAATCTCAGTCCAATGTCTTTGCCATGAGGCCTCCCCTTGTTCCATGCATGGCTTTATCTCCATGGGCAAAATGCAGGACCATCATTCTCCACAGATGGTGAGATCAGTTAAGGAGAGGACAGACCATCCCACTCATCATTTGGGCTAGGGCTTCTGGAGATAAGGGCCTATCAATAGGCTATGCCCGTAAAAACCAGAGTAGGAAAGCACCCGTCCCTCAAATGACAGCACTGATCTGCACAGCTCAGATTCTGCAGCCCAGCTCCCCCGCCAGGGCTGGACTCCACCAGCAGCTTGGCCCAGAGCCAGAGCCCACAAGAATGGCCTGCACCCCCCAACCCAACAGCCCCCAGCAGCCCAGCGGAGATGAATTCTGTGAGGCTTGGGGGAACAAGCAATCCAAGGAGCTCAGGGTGTCAGGGCTGGGTTCCCCTTGTGCCAGTCCTCCAGAAGGCACTCTGCAGGGTGCTATCCTCTGCTCCCTGCTGGCCGAGCATGGCCTAGTGAGCAAGGTCCAGGAGGTCAAAGGGATACGACGTAACAGGGACAAGCCCAAGACTGCAGCTGCCCCCACCATTACCCAAAATCGTTTATTGTTTCGTCAAGTGGCATAGAAAAAGTAATCTGTTGCTCTTGGCTGGGAAAGTGTAGGATAGCAGCAGAGAGTGAGCCAACTCCCTAGCCCCAGGACTCCCCCTGCCCGCGACATAGAGGGGAAGGGTCAGGGCTGGGCCCTGTCACCAATTACAAAATAATAGAGGCTTTAGACCAGGTACATGGTATAAAGGACAGAGCGGAGGAAGCAGCCAGCTTGCAGGGACGGGGACAGAGGGACCCGGCAGCTCGGGGAGAGAGCGAGTGTGATACAAAGTGCATAGATGTGCCTCCTCTGCCCCCACTTGCACCCCCAAACTGCCCTGCCAGGGGTCCCAGCTGTGCACGGTGGGCGGAGGGGAGTCTCCCATCACTGCGCCGTCCCCTCTTCCACCCCGACGAGCCTCTTTGGAGAGTCAGCTGTCCCAGCCCCAGCAGCAGGAGAGAAAGGCCTGGAAGAGAGAGGAGAGACTGGCTCCCTGCAGCGTCACTGCCCCTCTGGAGGGAGCCTGGATAGCCGCAGCTTGTGTCATGTGCTCCACACTGTCAAGGGAGATTCTCCCTAGCCCAAGCAGTCCACGCCTGTTTCTCCAGCAGGATCTAAGCTTGAGTGGCATAAAGGCAACTGTATAGTGCCAAACAGGGCTCCCAGCCCTTCGTCACCAGGAGGATGTTTTCCTGGGTAGACCCATTCGTGGCTATTTGGGGAGGGGGAGGAATTCCCTGGCCAGATCCATCCCCCTGTCAGGGAACGATGGGGCTCCCGGCCCTTCTGGCAGGGGGGACGATTCCCAGCTGGATCTGCCCCATCAGGAAGTGTTCCCCTGCTGTTCAGTGTGAATATCCCCTTTCAACCGGCTTGGTTCCTGCCCTCCCCAGACAGGCTCAGAGCCATGCCCCAGAGGAAGGACTAGGTGCCAAGCACCACACTGTCCACTAGGTGGTGCAAGGAACCCTAAGAGCCGCTGGCCACACCATTTTGCTGCACTCCGGCCTGAGTCACACATGGCTCATTGCTGGAATTCAGGAAGCAAGGGGTGAAGGATACCATCAGCCTGACCTCCCTGGAGTCAGCACAGCCCCCACCTGCTCTGCCCAGGGACGGGAACGGGAAATCTCCCATACGAGCAGCCAGGGGGCCAGGGGCCAAGACCTTCCCCAAAAACCACGTCCTGCACCCATGTGTCTGAGATCTGAGGTACCAGAGCCCAGTCTGGGCTCCGGCTGCCCGATTTCCACTGGCTGACAGCCCACTTGTACACGCGTTACACCCCTGGGTTTGGACCAAGTGTCCCTTGGCGGTGTCACACCCATTTGCAACAGGGATTGTGCATCGCACCAGCCGGACGTGACTTTGCACAGAGCTCTGCTGGGTGTGAAGCATGTCGTGTGCAAACTGCCACAGTGGAAGTGCGACGCAGCTTTCGGTGCAGGCACATGGGGCCCTCACCTCAATGGGGCCGTCAGGATTTCTTCTTTTTCAGCTTCAGCGCTTGCAGCCAGTGGGGCGAGGTGGCATCTGACCTAGGGGGCGAGGAGGCAGCGGCCATGGCAGAGCTGACAGGAAAAGGATAGAACTTTCTCACCCACCAGGGTCTACGCCCCCCGACACCATCACATCTACACAGCCCCAACCCCCCAGGGTCTATGCACCCCCCCCCCCCAATACCTGCAGCCTCCCATTAACACCCCTAGGTGCATAGACACTTGCTGAAACCCACAAACCCAACCTCCCACCAGAGACACCCCCACACACACTCACCCTGAGGATTTCTCTGGCTTGGGGGGCAGCACCAGGGGTTTTCCCCCCAAGCCGGGAATCTTGCAGGACTTGGAGCGCTGGACGTGGGGCTCCTTGGGAGGGGTTGGCTTGGCCTCCCCCAGCTGGGCCCCCTCTTCTGCAGAGCGGTTCCGGCCCCGCAGCTTGGCCTGTGGGAGGGGGGGGGAGGCGGGGAAGGTGTCTCAGACAGACACACAGATGCCCTGTCTCTGTCTGTACATCACCCCCCCACCCCACAAACAGCACGTCCCCCTGACCGTCCCCAATAGGGTTGCCAACTGTCTAATTACACAAACCCAAACACTCTTGCCCTACCCTCTGCCCTGCCCCTTCTCTGAGGCCCCGCCCCCGCCCCGCTCACTCCATCGCCCTTCCCTCCGTCGCTCGCTCTCCCCCACACTCACTCACTTTCACTGGGCTGAGGTGGAGGGGTTCAGAGTATGGGAGGGGGCTCCGGTCTGAGCCTGGGGCAGGGGGTTAGGGTGCAGGAGGGGGGACGGGCTGCAAGCTCTGGGAGGGAGTTTGGGTGCTGGAGGGGGCTCAGGGCTGGGGCAGGGAGTTGGGGTGCGGGAGGCGGGGAGAGGTACGGGCTCCGGCCAGATTGTACTTACCTCGGGCGGCTCCCGGTAAGCAGAGCAGCAGGGCTAAGGCTGGCTCCCTGCCTGCCCTGCCCCTGCGCCACTCCCAGAAGTGACCAGTACATCCCTGCAGCCCCTGGGAGGGGGGCCAGGGGTCTCCGTGCACTGCCCCTGCCTGCCGGTGCTGCCTGCGCAGCTCCCATTGGCCGCAGTTTCTGGCCAATTGGACCTGTGGAGTAGGCCCTTGGGGCAGGGACAGTGCGCAGAGTCCCCTGCCTCCTCCCCAAGAGCCGAGGGGACATGCTGGCCCAACCTATTCCCCCCACACTTCCCATCCTGCTCCTCACCACCCAAGACCTCCTCCAGAACCCACCTCACCCCCCAGCCCCACTTCTCCTCTCAAGACCCCTCCTCCTCACCCATGACCATTTCCAACACCCCCTTCCCACTCCCTCTCCTACTCAGCCCTCCCAACATCCCATGGGCACTGGCTGCATCCCTGGTGGGCACCCCGGATCATTCCCACCCCTCCTCCGGCCCGGGAGCCCTGGCAGGCACTACCTTGAGAGCTGAGGGGTTCAGGCCTGGGAAGAGTGGCACCTTCAACCCCTTGGCCGCCAGCGAGGGCCGTGTCCACCGGCTCTGGGGCTCCTCTGCCGCCTCCTCATCTGAGGACACCCAGCGCATTGCTCTGGGCTCTGAGGGGAGACACAGGGTCAGTGTCAGGCCACTCAGGGCCACACGTCAGCACCGCCACTGCGTGGGGACACACGCCAATGCCACTGCCACGGCAGCACATGTGTATTGGTGCCGGTGCCATGTGGGCTCACACGCCAACACACACGCTCCACCCGGGAGTGGGGCACCAACACCATGCCCTATAACACCCCCAATACACCCCCCACCCACAATGATGTGCCACCCAGAAACACACGTAACCATCATGCCACATGGCAACATCCACCACGGCCATACCAACACCCCTCCGACACAGGACCACACGCTAACAGCACGCCAAGAGCATGCAAGACAAACACCATGCCAACATCACGGCACACCACTGAACAGAAAGCCAGATCAACACCAGGCTGGCCAGCGAGCCACAGCATGCCCCACCCCATGTCCCACCTGTAGAGTCCTGGAACATCCAGTCGGCCACCTCCACCTCAGACAGTGCCAGGGTGCCTGCAGTGCGCGTGGCCGGCGCCCGGTGACCTCGCTTGCGGCCCAGGTTGGCTCTGCTCCGGTAGATGGTGCTGTCAAGAACTTCCATGCCCTGTACATGTCCCATACATGCCCCGGGGGGGGAAGATACTGATCAGTGCCCAGATGCGAGGGGAGAGCCCACAGGAGCACCACGCTGCCCACCAACCCCGCAGCTGCTATGGCTACTGATCCAGGAGAGCCGCGGACCCATGCCGAGCCATAAGGGGAAAGCCCATGGGGGTGCCAGGCTGCCCCATCTGCCTTGGGACTCCAGCAGGGGCAATCCCAGTCAACCCCTCAGAGGGACCCAATCCCAGAGGCAACCCACAAGGAAGTGGGTATGGATGGGTGTACTCCCTCGGGGGCCCTGGTACATGATCAAGAGCCTATGTGACTAACTAAAGCCAATGAAGGGTTAGTCATCCAGCCCTGGACATTTCCAGTCAGGCTCCCCCGCAGCATGGCAGTGGGGGATTCTCAACCCAGACATGGGGTCCCCCAGCTGGAGGGTCACCAGGGAGGGCATGGGGAGAGTTCCCTTCTGAAGGCAGCCCACGATGCCCCCATGCCAGTCACCACCTGGTGTCCCCATCGGGCAGGGAAAAGTGGGGGCTCGAGGTCACCTGCCCCCTACAGCCCCGGCTCCCAGTGTGGACATGAGTGGTGGGGGAAGGAGGCCCATGTACCCAACCACAACCAGCACCAGGCCCAGGAGGGAGCAGAGGCTGCTGGGAAATCCCCCAGGGTCACCTCCAGGAAGGCGAAGTCCTCGCCTGGCGGGGAGGGCTGGCTCCCACAGCGCCCTGGCTGGCTCAGCTTCCTCGCTTCTATTGGCAGCCAGTCCCTGTCCGTGGCATCCGACGGGCTGGGTGCGCCATCCCCTTCGGGCCGGGGCCCGCCATCCTCCTCTTGTGGTAAGGGGGAGGGGTGGGCGTCAGGGCTAGGAGGCAGCCCCCTCTCCTCTCTGGGGCTCTTGCGCTGGGCGACTGCCTTGGCCAACATCTCTTCCAGAAGGGGGCTCGGGCCAGAGAGCTGGGGGCTGCCGGGGCCACTGCTGGGGGAGAGAACAGTGAGACCCTGCTGTCCCTGGAGCCCCCCATGCCCCAGTCCTCTGCTCCAGACCCTTCCCCCACTCCCCTCCCAGCCTCCTCTGCTTCCCCTCCCCCATACTCCCCTCCCAGCTTCCTCTGCTCCCCCCTCGCTGCGCGCGAAGCCCACATCTACAGTCCCCTCACCTGGCCTTATGGGGCATACAACAGATTGGGCTCCTCGCAGCTTGGCCTGGGCACCTGCCCAGGAAATGAGCGCAGCTCACCCCAATGTAGCACTAACTCTAGGGCCCAAACACTCCCTCCAAGAAGATCAAAATCATTATCCCCATGAGGGAACTGAGGCAAGGGACAGGGAGGCGACTTGCCCGGGTGTTCAATAGCAGAGCTGGGGATAGACCCAGACACATTCTGATTCCTTTAACCTAATTCACTGGGTAGGGCGGGAAGGTGTCCTGCCTGGGAGCAGCTGGCAGAGGCCTTCAGAGAGCCACAGGAGGGACAACAGAGCCAGGCCCCAGCACCCAGAAGATCCCTGGCGTCAGGGAAGGAACATGCCAGCCAGAGAGGAGAAGCCCAGTGCTGCCACTCTCAGTCAGCAGGGTCTGGGGCTTGGGAAGAAGAGAATGGGAACCTGACAGGCTATCAGAGGCCGGTCAGCGGATGCAGATTCTGGGGCTGATCAGCCCACTCCAGAGGTTAGGCAGAGGCAGTTTTTAAACACTGGATACTCCCAGCATCTGGCTCCGAATGCTGGGAAGCTCAACTGGGGCTTTGAGGGTAGTGGCTCTCTTTGTGTTTTGGAAGATCTTCCTCCAGGTCCTCTCCCTGTTCCAAGGAGGACAAATGGAGCATGTTAGTAGAGCGCGTGGACAGCACACTGATGGGCAGCCTGAGAGGAGGGCCGGCAGAGTGACGGATGCACAGACACAGGATAAAGGACACACGTGGTGCATCTCCAGCCTCAGCTACCCCAAAAGTGGGGGGCAGAAACACACTGCTCTTGGTGGTGCCTAGATGCCATGGCTCGGCTGTTAGCTCTGCAGGGCCCTGATCCTGGGCAGCGCCCCGCTACAACCCTGGAAGCGGTGCAAACCCAGCTTAGCCAGCAGCCAGGACATTGAGTTCCAAGCCCCATGCAACAACTGACTGCTGGCTGGTTCCCATGATCTCCGACAACTGGACAGCTACTCCAGAACCAATTACATCATCCACCACCAACTGCAGCCTGAGTTCTTATGTGCCAGAGCCTTCCTGCAGAGCATGCAGACCAGAGCGCTGCTGTGAGTTCGGGGGGAAGGGTCCCCTTCTGTGGATGCCTCTCCCCCAGAAGCTAATGGGGAACCAGGACTGCTCCAGGGACTCCAGAGGGGGAAGCCATGTGCCAGAAGCCCATAGGCTCCCAGGCTGTGAAGGGGGTACTTAGCTGTTGTGGGACGTCAGCACATTTCCATCCAGCATGGACAGCCACCTGGAAACCCCAACCAGTGTTCCCTCTAATTTTTCCCATCCGTGTGCAGAATGTATTTTGTTATCTGCACTGATATGGAGGTGATATGTGACACATCACCTTCATATTGGTGCACGTAACAAAATTCATGTGGTGGGGGTGGGGCTGAGGGGTTCAGAGTTTGGGAGGAGGCTCAGGGCTGGGGCAGAGGGTTGGGGTACAGGGGTGTGAGGACTCCGGCTGGGGATGTGGGCTCTGGGGTGGGACCGGGAATGAACGGCTTGGGGCTGGGCGGGGGGGGGGGGGAGTAGGCTCCGGGTGGGGATGAGGGATTAGGGGTGCAGGAGGGTGCTCCAGGGCTATGGCGGGGAGACAGGACTTGCCCCAGCTCTCTCTCTCTCCCTGCAGCAGCACCTGGGCTGGGGGAGAGAGGCATCTCCCCCCCGCCATGGCAGCTCCAGGGCTGGGACACAGGATAGGCACCTCTCCACAGGTCCGGGCCGGGGTTGGGTTCAGGGAGGGGCACCCCGGCTATGACAGGTCCAGGTCAGGTTGGGGGCTGGACTAGGTTGGGGCCAGGGTAGGGCTGCCTCTCCCCCAGACTGCAGAAGGTCCCTGAGCAGGTCCCTTGAGCGCCTGCGTGGTGCTAAATTGGCCGTTGTGCAGCTGTGCAGCATACAGGGAATGTGGATCCCAACCCCGGGATACTCCATATGGGCCAAGTGAAGCTGTCGGACCCCGTGGAGGAACATGAAAGGGACACATTGCCTGAGAGCTGGGAAGGAATCTGAAGAACTAAGCCAGTGAACTAAAGGAGGCCGGTTGGGAACAGCTACTACACGGGAGGGAAGGGGGTGCTGATGATGCTTTAAGGGGAGCGCCACGGCACACGAGATGTCTCCAAAGCAGCACAGCTCCCATACAGTGAGAGCTCCCCACTCTGCTCCAACGCCTTGGCAAAGCTCTCCTCCCTCTACCTGCTGGTGTTCTCCTCTGGGACTAGAGGCTGCTGCTTGCGATCAGCCCTCAGACAGCACCCAGTGGGGAAAAGCACAAAGTACACACAACAGCTGTCGGGGGAAGGGTTCTTGGCAAGGGACCCCCCCCCCCCCCCACAATTCTGGAACTTTCCCCTTCCATAGGTGTTAAGGCCAGAAGAGACCAATTGATCATCTAGCCCGACCTTCTGCATAACACAGCCAGTTACCCCCATCCTGAGCTCAGTAATTTGTGTTTGGTTCAATGTGTCTTCCAGGAGGGCAGCCAGGCTTCATCTGAAGACACCAAGGGATGGAAAAATCCACTACCTCCCTTGGCCATCTGTTCAAAGTGTGGCCTTCCCTCCTAATCTGAATGTGTCATTTGATGAGGCTCAGGTGACTAGGATCCGGGAGATGACACAGGCCAGAGAACTGCCCCAACCACAGTGGCTTCCAATTTCCACAGTGGTTAATGATTTTTGGGGGGGGTTCCTTTTTTGGGGGGGGTAGCAATCTGAGACAGCTGAAAGGGGCTCAAGTTCTCAGAAAGCACAGAGCACCTCGGAAGAAGGTCCATTGAAGGCACTTCCAGTTGGGCTAATGAGTTTGCTCAGTGGCTCTAATGGCTTAGACAAAAGACCCTGCACTGGAGGCTACTGAGAGTACGGGAGCCGAGGCAGGAGGGGAAGCGCTATCTCTGATTCGAAAACAGGAAGCGCTGCAAGAATGGACGGCCTGTTCTCCTAGCACAACGAAGCTAGTGGCAGAAAGTCCCGTGGGCCTGATGCACCATAGACTACACGCTGGACAAGGGAGGAGAAAATAGATGGATAGCAACATTCACCAATGAGACAAAGCTACTGGACGGCCAAGGCCACCCACCGAGGCCAGGAAACCCAGGGAGGGATGGAATTCAACAGACACAATCTAAGGTGTGTTGTAAGGAACAGCCTGCCCGCCTGGGCCAGGGGGCCTGCGTCTGGCCACCCCTGGTCGACTCTCAGGAAGAGCTAGAAAGGGGTTTTCTAGACTGGGCTGGGGGAGCTCAGAGGGAAGGAAGCTGGGCTTTGATTCAGGGGGCTGAACAGAGGTGGGCATCCTCCTTTCAGCACACAGAGATGGGAGGGAAACGTCTGGGCGCTGGAGCCCAGGGCAGGCAGAGGAGTGGTTCTCTGGGCGGACATCCTGCCTACGCTGAAGCATAAAACTGCCCTGAGACATAAGGATGGGCTAGCGCCTTCTGCCTGGGCAGCTGCCTCCAGGTCTGAATTAAACAGGCTGTGGGTGAACAACAGAACTCCTGGCAGGGCCACGGGCAGCTCAAAGCCAAGGCCAGCTGAGCCAGCGAGAACGGGGACGAAGATGCAAACGGGAATGTTCAAGTGGTCACGGCAGCTCTTTGACTCAAAGCCAAGGCGCCGAAGCAAGGAGGGTTACAGGAGAGGAAGGAGGAGGTCCACAGGTGGTGGGCGGAAAGCAACTCAGCTGCCCGGATCAAGCCAGCACGAGGAAGCACATGACCATGCTGGGTGGCAGTCCACGGGAGGCGTCCCCAAGGAGAGGAGGTGTTAAGCAGTGGAACTCACTGCTGCAGAATGTTTGAGAGCAATGAGCTCAGCAGCAGGCATCTGCCATTTAGGCAAGCGCAGCAGTGCTGATCTCCACAATGGGAGTACTCTGTCTGAACAGCCCCACACTGGGATTGGGACGAGATCTCCCCCCTTCCCCTCTGAAAACAGTTGCTTTTTGAGACCAGAACCCAGCCTAGGTGGGGCACCACCTGCTCTGATGAGCAGTGAAGGCTGGGATGGATCACCCTACACTTCTGCCCAACCTTCATGCACTCAGTGCAGCCCTCACCTGTCTCCATGCAGCTCCAAGCCAGTCATGGCTGTGGCATTGGTTTGTTTCCCACGTCCAATCCTGACCTCGCTGGCCCAGTCCATCTGCCCTGCTCCAGCCTCCCTGGTCTCAGCGGACCCCTCGTCCCCACAGCCGAACTCATGGCTCCAGTCAGTCTGTCTCGCACTGGCCTCTGCTGGGCCCACGCTCTCGAAGCCACGGGCTGTGGCCGGGCCTCCCGTACCGAGGTCGCTGGCCCCGTCTGGCTGCCCCACGCCAGGCTCTCTGGGTGTATCGAAGCCCTCCATCCCCAGACTGCTAGACGGATCCATGCTGCTCACGCTCAGTTCATTTGTCCAGTCCATCCATCCCCTGCTGGGCTCCTCAGGACTGATTGCCCCCAGGCCAACAGAGGGACCTATGCCATGGAGTCCTAGATCTTGGGCCCAGTCAGAGTGTCCCACACCAGCCTCTCTGGGCTCATCCAGGTCCACAGTCCTGGTATGGCCAGCCCAGTCAGTCTGGCTCTCTCCAAGCTCTGCTGGGCCCAGGGTCCCGATGGCACCAGATGGATCCAAAGCACTCAAGCCAAAGCCACCTGCCCGCTCAGTCCCAATGACACCATACTGGCTTTCGTGCTCAGCTCCTCCGATCCTGAAATCACTGACACAATCCCTCCTAGCAAAGAGAAACTTGCTCTCCTGCCAGTTGGTGCCGCTCCACCCTGGCTTCCTGGCACCAGGCTCTTCGGCTGAGCTGTCGGGGTCTCCAACACCAGAACCAAAGGCACTCTCCTGATCTGTATGGTGAATGTCATATTCACCAAGCCAAGCTGGCTTGTCAGGGCTGAACGCTCTGTCCTGCTGGGCATCATCACTGAACTTGCGGGTCCAATCTGGCTTGTCCTCCTGGGCAGTATTGCCAACTTCATATTCACGGGTCCACTCTGTACCCTGCCCACTGGTCTTGACACTGCACTCATGGGTCCAGTCTGGCTTCCCAGCACCAAACTCCTTATCCTGGTGGTCCGTATCACTGAGACCGTGCTCATGGGTCCAGTCTGGCTTGCTGGTGCCAAACCCTCTATCCTGCTGGTCTGTATCACCGACACCGTGCTCACGGGTCCAGTCTGGCTTGCGAATACCAAACTCTCTATCCTGTTGGTCAATATCACCGACACCAGGCTCATGGGTAGAGTCTGGCCTGCTGGTACCAAACTCTCTATCCTGCCGGGCTGAATCACCCACACTGTACTCAGGAGTCCAGTCTGGTTTGCTGGTACTGAACCTCTTGTCCTGCTGGGTGTTGTCCCCAATTACGTAGGTGCTGGTCCAGTCCAGTTTCCTGGTACTGAACTCCCCATCCGAGCTGTCGGCACCACCAATGTCGTATTGGCTGCTCCAGTCTGGCTTGCCGGGGCTGAACTCCCCTTCCTGCCGGCAGCTGTCCCCGATGCCGTAGGCGTCAGGCCAGTTTCCGTGTCCCACGTTGGAATCACCCAGCAGCTCTGTCTCTTTGTACACGCCACTCCAGTCCCGTGTGCCGGTGCCAAACTCCCCATCCTGCTCTGTCTCACCAGCTCTGTAACTGCCGGGCCATTCTGTCTTCCCCATGCCAGTCTCGCCAGCCCAGCCAAACTCACCGGCCCGGTGGGCCCCTCTGATGCCAAACTCGCTGCACAGATCCTTCCGCGACCAACCAAGGAGATCCTGAGGGGGGGGGGGGGGAAGGAGAATAGGGTTAAAAGAGGAAAGAGTTTGTGGGGAAGGGGATATGAGAGGATCAGCTTCTCCCTCCCAAACTGGCCAGGTTGTATGAGAGGCAGGCAAGATTCCAGGGGAATCTGTCTCTTGGGGGCACTTCCCCCATAGCTGCAGCATTGGGGTCCTGGGTTACCCTCCACCCAGCAAGACAGGCAGGAGATTCATTCACCCTTCCTGAGGTCTCCGGTTCACTAGCCCCTCTGATCCTGCCCCAATGCCCTTTGCTTTCAGGGACAGCCCTTCTGCCACAGCACTTGGGAGGAGCAAGATCTCATTGGGCAGCCCCAGCCAATCTTAACTCCCCACCCAACCCAGCCCAGCGGAGCAGCCACAGGAACAAGGTCTCCTGGGTCCCCCCACCCAGATGCTGCCAGAAGCACCATCTGTACTCACAGCCAGACAGGGAGTGCTCCATTCACTCCCTTGCTGAGCACGCCCAGCCTCATCCCGCAGCTCCAAGTTAGCCAAGAGTCGCCCCAGGACAGACATCCTGCCAGCCTCCCTGGCCATGGCTGTGGCAGGCCACCCCATGCACCCCAAGAGGGATAGCCCAGGAGAGGCCAGCTCTATGGCTGCCTTCAACGGCTCTCCCTGTCCCAGCTCGCCCCAGCATGCTTCACTCTGCCTCTGCCCAACCTGTCCGACTGCTCTGCACACTCCGCCAGCGGCCAATGCCCAGCCCTGCAGAACTGAGCCCAGCTTGCTCAGCGTAGAACACCCACCCCTCGCCCCAGCAGGGACGGGCTGAGAAGGGGGCTTTCGCCTCCCCCACATTTACCTGGGGAGAGTGCCCCCTGCTGGGCCTGGGGAGATACCCCCACCCACCCACATACCCTTGGGAGATGCCCCCCCACAGTCCCCAGATCCAGCAGGAGGTGCTCTACCCACAGTGAGACACCCCCCACACTCACCGTGGGGAGATACCCCTCCCCCACACTCACCCTGGGGAGAGCACCTCCAGCTGGGCCTGGGGAGAGAGAGACACACACTGAGGAGACGAAGTCCTCCTCCCACCCCCCATCCCACCCCCCCTGGTGCCAAGAGATCCCCCCTTCCCTCCCGCAGACGGTCACCCCTCCTTTACCTCTGGCCCTGCAGGGTCCCTGGGCTCGGGCGTGCCCTTTCTCTTGGTCTCATCTGCGCTGGGCGGGGGCGATGCCAGCAGCTCATCCAGCCAGCGTGCATTGGGATGTGGCTCAGAACCCGCCCTGCCTGGCCTCAGGCCCTCCTGGCAGCTCCCCACTGACGCCAAGTCGTCCTCCTGGCATTGGTCAGCACCAACTGGCCGGGGAGTGTCAGACAACAGGACTGGGGCGGCTTGCTCCTGGTCTGGCTCTGGCTCGGTCAGCCGCAGGGGGGGCGCCTAGCAGTGGCCTGCCTTGCTCCTCCCAGATAGTGCCCACCTCATCCACCACTGCAGGGCCCTTCAGCTCGGCCACGGCTGCCTCCGTTTGTGCGACGGGGCCCCCAGGACATGTGGCCTCCAGGCCCCCCACCTCAGTCGCTCCCTGATCACATGGGGCCCCCATGGCACCATCCAGGCGGGCAGAACTCCCTGCAGCCTCGGCGTCCTGCCAATCCAGGGCAGTGCTGAGTTGCCTTGCCCTCTGCCCCTCAGAGCTGCTGCTTTCCTCAGACCCTTTGGGGCTGGGGGCCAGGCCCTCCCCTTCCGAGTCCCCCTGCTCAGAGAGGCCAGAGTCATCTGCCTCTCTAAGGGGGGACCTGGGGGGCTCCCACTCCACAGCCCGGGATGGGAACGCCCACAAAAATGACTGAGACAGGTTCCAGTTGGACTCACCCTCCAGGGGTGGCCCAGGGTGGGGGGGCCCTCCCCTGGGCAGGGCAGCCAGGGAGCCCCGCAGCACTCCCATTCCTAGCTCCTTGTCTGGCAGCTGCACCACCCCATCTGAGGAGCGCTGTAGCCCCAGCTGTGGGCACTGGAAGTCCTCATCTGCTGGCGCAGGCCCTGTGAATGGCTCCGCATCACTGGAGAGTGAAGGGGAGCCCCGCTCAGGAGATTGGGAGCTGTATGGGGACACTGGGGACTCAGTGCGTCCATCGGGGGACCCCGGAGACCAAGAGACTCTGGTGGGGAGCTTAGGACACAGATTGGGGGTGTCTGGGGATGGAACAGGAGCTTTGGGGGCCCCTGGGGATTGAGTGATTCTGTGGGGCAGCTCAGCAGGGATGCCTGGGGCCAGGGCCCGCCCTGCAGGGGGGCTACGGGGGAGCTCTGCGGGGGCATCTGGAGTGCCTGGTGCCATGCCTGCAGGGAGGCCAGAGGGGGGTTGGGACCCCTCACCAGGAGCCTCCAGAGACCCCAGGGAGCAGGAGATTCTGTGGCAGAGCTCAGCTGGAGCATCAGGGGCCGGGACTAGGCCTATGGGGAACTTAGCCAGAGACTCAGGGGTGCCTGGGAAGCCGGGCCCAACACTGGTGGGGAGTTCAGTGTGGGCAGGGGGCGAGCCCAGGGCAGGGAGCTCGGCAGGCACAGCAGGGGACCCCAGGGCTGAGGCAGGATGCTCGGCAGGGAGGTAGAGGGCCCCTGGGGCCAGGGCAAGGCCAGCAGAGTTGCCAGGGGCCACCCTGAACGGGAGCTCAGCAGGAGCCACAGGGATGGGACAGGTCCGGGCCAAGGAAAACTGTGAGAAGAACGGGAGATCATTATCCATGCACCCCCCCAGATTGATGGGGCTCCCCCCCAAGACGGCTCCCAACTACCACTGCCCAGAGCTTCCATCACCATCCCCCGGTGCATCCCGATCCCCAGCGCCTGGAGCTTCCCCCCTCATCTGCCAGATGGCCCCTGACCCCCAGTGCTTCCCCCCACCCCAGCGCCCGGGGCTCCCACACATCCCCTGGATGGTCCATGACCCCCATCACCAAGAGCTTCCCCCCACCAGTGTCCAGGGCTGTGCCCCATCCCCTAGACAGCTCCCAACCTCCAGCTCCCAGGGCTTCCTCCCCCCCCCCCAACCCCCAGCATCTGGGGCTCCCCCTGCCGGATGGCCCCCCAACCCCCAGGACTACACCCCCACACACACATTGCTTTCCCCCCAACCCACACCGCCTGAGGCTTCCCCCCATCCCTCAGACAGCCCCTGACCTCCACCACCCAGGAATCACCCTTGGATGCCCCCTGACTTCCGCTGCCCGGGTCCCCACTAGAGTGTCCCTTCCCCATGTGAAGGGACTGGAGGCATTAAGGCATCACTGGAGGCATTAAGGATGTTTCCCATGTGACTCAGCCCAGCTGGATCCCAATCTCCTTTGGGGGTGCTGCTGCCTAGCCCTGTCCCACCCTTTGGGCTCAGGCGACCCCTCCAGCCTGGCTCCTGTCCCACGCCCAGCTCCCTAGCTTAGCCTCAGCTGCAGCTTCCCATGATCTAGGGTGCCCGCCCCTTCCCCACTGCGAGGAGCCCCATGGCAGGGAGATGAAGGCAGAGAGGAGGAGGAGGAGGAGGAAGGAGGAAGCAGGAGGAATCAAGCCATATGGCTGCAGAGTGGCATTCAGGGCTTTGGAGACCCCCAGCCCCAGGGCAGGAGGGAGAAGGGAAGGGGGCCCCAGTGTCAGTTCCCCACTCCGCCCCCACCAGGAAAAGGGAGTTAATGGTTAACCTCTTCCTGGCTATCTCCCAGGAATCCTGAGAGGAGTGGCTTGGGGGGGGGGGCGGGCCCTCTCCACCCTCCCTGCCTAGAGGTTTGGCCAAGGGCCCAGTCGGGTTGGGAACCGCCCGCCTGCTGCATACCTGCCAGGTCAGCGAGCCCAACACGGTGAGTCAGGGCTGCTCCCTCCTGGGTGCAGGCATACAGACTGAGAGTGAGCGCTGGGTTCCCAGTCCCCTGGGCCAACCACACAGGGCTGCTGCCACGGGGGGAAGCACCCCCCTCAGGAGATCCTGATTATATTGGCTGGCGTGGTCTCATGTGTCCAACCCGCTCCCCAGGGCTGGGCGAGATAAAACAACATTGGCCTAGGAGCCTATGGGTGGAGGACCCATGGTGCCATGCAGTACACCTGGGTTCTTGATCACTCCCTTTCCATGCCTGGGTGAGGTTCAATAGGCTCAGGGACCCATGGTGTCATGCAGGATGCCTGGGTTCTTGATTACTCCCTTTCCATGCCTGGGGGAGGTTCAATAGGCCCAGAGACCCATGGAACACCTGGGTTCTTGATCACTCCCTTCCCATGCATGGGGGAGGTTCAATGTGCCAAGGACTCAACAAGTGGGGGACCCATGGTGCCATGCAGGACACTTGAGTTCCTATGGCCTCACCTCCCGGGAGAGCTGCAGGAGCTGGTGCCCTAGGGCTGGCAGAGAAGGGAGAGGAGACACGCACCCCAGAGAGAGGGAGCCCAGGAGGAGACAGGAGAGCCCGGAAGGAGAGCACTGAGCAGAGCAGCTGCCACGCTGGAGGGGGCGAGCCGAGAACTCACACCAGGGGGGGACGGCGGCTTTCTGCGTCCGGACTGGTCCCCGTTGCAGCTGGCGCTGGCTGGGGAGGAGCCACTGAGAGAGAGAAAACATGGAGAAATGGGGGGTTAGTCTCCAGAACAAGGAATATTTTAGTCAGCAGGATGGAGGCAGCATGGCTTAGCGGGTAGGGCACTGGACTCCGGAGGTCTATTTGCAGCTCTGCTGCTGAGTGCCTTGGATATCCCTTTCCTGTGCCTCAGTTTTCCCATGTGTAAAATGGGGATAATGATATTGACCTCCTTGGGAAAGTGCTTTGAGATCTATGGATTTAAAGCTCTCCAGAAGAGCTCGATACTATTATCTTCACCAGGATCCACCCTGTCCTCTCTAACTCCACAGTTGCATCCCATTCAACTCCCACCTCCATTGATGGCCCCTTCTCCTCTCTACTAAGAGCCCTTCACCCTCACATCCAAAGCCAGTCAGAACCTCACCACCTGCCCACAGCTGATCTTCTCCCATCCTCTCCCACACCAGCCACCCAGTGTCCCCTGCACCAGGATCATGCTCCAGGTCCACTCTCCTCTTCCAAACATTTCTCCAGGGTTCCTTCCTACCTGGCACTCTCGCCACGTACCTCCATGTTGTGTGTCTCAGACTGCCAGCTTTCAGGGAATGGGAACATCTCCCAGGCCTCATCTACTGTCAACTCACCTTGGTTTAATTAAACCAAGCACACAGTCCTGACATGTGGACCCTTACTGAACAGCTTATTTTGGTTTAGCTTAACCGCATTCCTAACCAACTCAAAATAAACCAAGGCCTTGTGGACATGTTACAATTATCTAATATCCACTCCCTTTGGGAATCATGCCAAATTTGTGACCTCAGCCACATCCTGTGGCAAGGAGTTCCACAGGCTAACTCTGTATTAAGTGTTAAGGTCTTGTCCATATGCAGAGCTGCACTCATCTAACTACCGGGTTGATTTTATACAGGTGTCAAAGAGCTGTTTGGATGCCTCTAGGATTCTCCTCTACATCCAGGAAGCACCATGTAACAATCCCCTTTCTGGCTTCCTCTCCGCTTCCCTGGGGGGGAAGATCTGGCACCAGATCCTAGCGCCTTTGCCAGATTCTTACCCATAATGTAGTGCAGCACACCTTGCCCACTCCTCCTCCACACACACCCCTTCCAGCACAGAACAGACAAGGCCTTTACCCACAATGTCCTGCATGCCCCACCTCTGCACATCAGCCCCTCACCTTTCCCTGGAGGCTGAGCCAGGGTGTCTCTCTGCTTCTCCATCTGAGGGCTCTGGCGGGCGTTCTCCAATGGGACTCGGGCTTCCTTCCCTCTTCATCCTGCCAGCGACCGGCTTGTCCCCACAGGACGCTCTGCTCTCCTGTGCTTCGGGGGGCCCAGATACCCAGGAGGCCTCAAAGCGGGGGGCGATGGCGTCACCTTCCCCTCCCTCAGCACTAGGCTGTCTCCGAAAGGCGGCATAGCCTTTGGGCCCGAAGCGGGAGCTGCCATCAGGGCTGAAGATTGAGCGCGGGCCCCAGGCCGGGTCAGGACTGCCCGACCCCTCTTTGCAGGGGCACTCCATCTTGGCCAAGATCTCTTCCACTGTGGTGCCGGGGAAGCGCTCCCGCTTGGCCGCCACTGGCACCGGCTTCACTTTGAACGGGGCAGTGCCCTTGAGGACTCCTAGGGGCCCCTGATCAGGGAGCGTCACAGGAGCAAGCGATCTCTCTTCCGTGGTACAGAGTGGGGCTCCCACTGCAGGTGGCGGTGCCCCCTTCCCATTGGAGGTCTCCCCTGGGGGGCTCTTGAGGCCGAAGGACAGGCGTTTAAGGGCTGTGCTGCTGCCACCGTATGGCTTGGGACCCGCCAGCAGGTTGATCTTCTCGGCAGAGGGGAACTCGAGGCGGGGAGGCCGCGACCCAGGGGACAGTGCCGGGGTGCAGGGCTTGGCAGGTACAGCCGGTTTGGGCAGCATGCGGGGTTTGGGCCCAACTGGCGGCTTCAGGCAAGTGTCACCTGGGGCAGGGGGAGAGAAAGAGCTTCTCTCAGAGCCCAGCCACAGAGCAGTCACTGCCCTGGCCAGCCCCCCAGCAGGGGCAACCCAGACAGCCCAAGCAACCCCACCCCCGCAGACTAGCCATTCCGGGGTGGACATGGCTCTCCAGGGTCTGCGCTGACAGATGCTCAGTGCTGGGGGGTTGTGATGGTTGCACCACTCTGAGAACTCAAATTTGTCTCACAGATGGACCCCTGAAAAGCATGGCCCTGTGTCCCACCTCCCACCCCCAGAGTCAGCCTGGGGCAGGATCAGAGCGGATGGCCCCAGAGGGGAAAGGTTCTGTGTCCCACTCCACACACCCAGGCATTTTCTGAACTCTGTGATGCCCCTCATTCCCCTGTGCCCATCACTCAAGCGAGCTGCTCCCCAGCTCTGTTATTCTCCATCCCAGCCCCCCTCTACTCTTCCCTTACCCACCAGCACGTACCTGTCTCGGGGCTGCCTGCCGGCTGCCCACCTCTGGCCCCCATGCTGCCATTGGAGGTAGGGCAGGGAGGTGGGGGGCGCAGGGGGTGTGTCTGGGAGGCCATGGTGGCACCTGGGCTGAGGCTCGATGAACTCAGTGCACGCGTCAGCCCCTAGGTGAGAGATGGTAGATCAGGGCTGTCTTAGAAAGGAGCAGTCAGATTTGGTCCTCCCCACCCCCACCCCAGCTCCCAGCCATGGCCTGATTTTCCAGCATGCCCCTCAGCTCCAGCTGCAGCCCCCTCCTTGCTGCTCCTGTGAAAGCCCCACATGCCCCCCATCAGCCCCCGTCTCCCTCTGGTCACATCATGCTGTCACCTCCCAAGAATGCCCCCTAGCCACGCAGGGCATTGTACCACCCCTCCACCACAGGCCCCACACTCACTGCACAGCCCCAGCCGCACCTCGACCTCCATTGCTCTGCACCCCATGTACAGCTGCCAAACAAAGTCCCCTACCCCAACTTCCACCCTGCCCCCCACACACACAGTGCCGACCCCTGCACTCCTCCCACAGTGCTAGACCCTTGCCTCCCCTCAGTGCCCCCATGCACAGTATCAACTCCCCACCCCGCCCCCACACATGGTGCCAAACACCCACCCTGCCTTATTCAGTGCCAACCCCCACCCCCACACACAGTGACAGACCCCTGCCTCCCCTCAGCCCCCTATGCACATCACCAACTTCTCACCCCTACCCCCCCACACAGTGCCAACCCCCTGCTCCTCCCTACACAGTTCCAAACTCTCATGTCCCTACAGTGCCAGACCCTTGCCTCCCCTCAGCACCCCCATACACAGCACCAACTCCCCACCCCTAACACCACATATGGAGCCAACACCCTCCACAGTGCCAGTCCCCCGGCCCACACCCCCAGCCCTCCCCACACATGCCAAGCCCCTGTACATAGTGCCAGTCCCCCTGCCCCACCCAGCCCTCTGCACACAGTTCCAACCCCTCACTCCCCCACAAACGCCCCAAGCCCTGTCCCATTCACAGCGCTGACTCCCCACCCACACAGTGCCAACTCCCGGTGCCAACCTGGCCCCCAACTCTCTACCCGCCCCCGCACGCACGCACGGTGCCCACACCCCTCTGGGTCAAGCGTGGTTCAGCACCAGCTGGACTCTCCTGGGCCGGCCGCTGGGAGCCTGGCTCACCTTCCCGGCAGCTGCCTCATCGTAGGCCGGGCTGGGGTGCACAAGCTCCCGTGACTCAGGCTGCAGGGACGAGAAAAACCAGCTAACTCCGAGGGCCTGACTCCGAGCCCTCCCCTTCCAGCCCCAGCCCCAGCCCCAGCCCCGCCTCCCTCCCCCGCCCCACTCCCCCAGCCCCTCCCCTTCACCCCTCCTCCTGCCCCACTCCCCCTCTCCTCACCCTCCCCAGCCCCGCCTCCCTTCCCTCAGCCCCTCCCCTTCACCCCTCCTCCTGACTCATTCCGCATCTCCTCTCCCCCCAGCCCTGCCCCACTTCCCCCAGCCCCTCCCCTTCACCACTCCTCTTGCCTCACTCCCCCTCTTCTCTCCCCCAGCCCCACCCCCTAACCCGTCCCACTCCCCCCAGCCCCGCCTCCCTTACCCCGCCCACTCCTGCTCCGCTCCACTCCCCTTTTCTTCTGCCTCCCTTCCCCCTCCCCTCCACCACTCCTGCTGCCCTATCCCCCCTCTTCTCCAGCCCCACCCGCTTCCCCCATTCCGTCTCCTAATCCGCCCCCCACCCCCAGTCACAGTCTCCCCATCCCGGCGCAGTGGGAACCGATCTCCGCCCCGCCCCGGGGAGCTGGCGTCACAGCTGCCCCAGCCAAGCCGGGCGGGGCGGGCACATCTGGAAGCCATCGGGTTTCTCTCCCCAGTTCCCGCTCACCCAATTTCCCAGCCTCCTGGCGCGGCGCTGGGATCCGAGGCGGCCCAGCTGCGCCGCGGCGGCCGGCTCCTGCCTGAATCTGCGCAGCGAGCCAGAGCCGGAGCAGGGAGAGGAAGGGGTGGCGGTCCCGTGCCAATCCCACACGGGCTTCTAAGAGACAGGGCGGCGCACGAATCGCGGGGTGCTGGGAGGGCGGGGCAGGAGGGAATTGATGGGGGCTGCGGGGCAGAACAAGCATCAGGGAAGACTAGGCATGCGGAAGTTGCTTTCCCCCCTGCCAATACCCCCCCATCACACCATGCCCCCTCCCGAAACCCTGCCTTCTCCTACTGTGCCAACCCACTCCACATAGCATCCACACTCTGCCTCCTCCCTATGCCAATACTCCCCACATCCTACCTCCCCCTGGGCCAATACCCCTTATATCCCATCCACACCACACCCCCTCCCCACACCCTGCCTTCCCTCCACTGTGCCAGTACCCCCCCCCCCACACATTTCCCCACTGCCTCCCCCACACTCTGCCTCCCCATGCTAATACCCCCCCATGTCCCATCCACACATAGCCCCCTTCTCCACACCCTGCCTCCCCCCATATCAATACCCCCTTCCCACTCCTCCCTCTTCCTCATGCCCACTCCTCTTGTGCCCCCTGACCCTCTCCTGCTTCTTCCCAACACTGCTGCAGCCTCCTGCCCATGCCCCTTGCCTTCCTCCCGCACCAGGCCCTGGCATCACCAGACCTTCCAGCTGAGTGAGGATTCCTAGCGCTATCACCATTTGCCAGCAGTCAGCGCCCCTCCCTTACCTCCTGAGCTCTGCTCTGAGACCCTGCACAGTGCTCTCCCTTCAGTGGATAACAGATCCCAGCTTGTGCCAATCCCTGGGCAAGCCAGACTGCACAGAGGCAGGATCTGAATATCTCTGGCTCTCCTGCCTGCTGCGGGGCGAGTGGTTCAGTGGGCAGGTGCTGGGGGAGGCAAGGATGGTCACGGAGGGACACTCCTCTAGTGATCTGCGCCCCCAGCCTGCCTCCCCCACTCCTGGGGAATCCTCCTGCACCCCAAAAGTGACATACCCCCAACACCATTGCAGACAACCACACAGCTCAGGCCAGGCCCCCATGGGCTCTGCAGATAACTGAACCATTTACACAGCGATTCAATTACAGCACGGGTGGTACACCGGCGAGGAATCAAGTGGAAGAGGATTTAAAAGTGGTTCAGGCCCCAGGGAGAATTAAGCTGCTTACAGATGAGTCCTGGGAGGAAGGCAAGTCTCAGGGGCCACCACAGGAGAAGGCTCATGGAGGAGGACAAGTAGGGATACAAGAGCCGGCTATAGGGTTCATGGGATAGAGTCATAGAACTTAGAAGGGTCTACAGTGATCATCTGTATGTAACACGGGCCATAGGACTTCCCTGACCAACTAGAGCAGAGCTTTTAGGAAAACATCCTCTCTTGTTTGAAATCTTGCCAGTACTAGAGAATCCATCACAAGCCTTAGTAAGTTGGTCCAGTGGTTAATTCCCCTTACTGTTAAAAATGTCTACCTTATTTCCAGTCTGAATTTGTCTAGCTTCAGCCTTGGCTCATTAGACCTTTGTCTGCTAGACTGAAGAGCCAGTCATCAAATACTTACTAAAAGACCAGGTTGCTCCACAGAAGGGGTTGAGAACAGGACCAACCACGTAGACCGTGTCTACAGCCAATCATGGACCCAAAGAAGATGTCCAAGGACACGGGAGTCATGGTTTGGGTTCTGCATAGGTGCAAGAAAGTGGATGGCAGCTTCTGGCCACACTGGGACATGGAGAAGGGAAACAAATCATCAAGGTGAGAGGAGATCCCTGCGGGACGAGCCTCAATAAAGATAGAGTCCACGGGCAGAGTAGCAAGCAAAGGAGACTTCGGCCATGTCTACACTATGGGCATTCCAGCAGCCCAGCTAAGGTGCTGTAGCGATGCTGCTGTAATGCTGTAGTGTAGACACACGCTACAGCGGCGGACGGAGGTTTTCCATCCATGTATCAACACCACCTCCCTGAGTGACAGTAGCTAGGGTGATAGAAGCATTCGTCTATCCACCTAGCCGCAACTACACATGGATTATTCAGACCTTGGAGTGCAGAAAAAGTATCTAGCTAAAGCTAGATCTACATACACTACACACTTACTTCGTTATAACTATGTCATTCAGGGGTGTGGAAAATCTAACCCTGAGTTTAGGGAGCACTGTGTTGGCGGGAAATCTTCTCTTGCCAGCGTAGCTATTGACCTCTCTCCCGTCAGCTTAGAGCATCTTCACTGCAAGCACTACAGCGGTGCTGATGCAAGTTTCTAGTGTAGATTTTAAGTGGAGACCAGGCCTGGGGACAGAGGACAGTTCAGACAGAAGGAGGCCAAGGTTACTGGCAGAGGGTAAGCTGAAGCAGGGGAGGGAATACCCAAGGGTGCCAGGCCTCTGACGTGGGTCTTCCCATGGGACACCTCTATGTTCATATTGGAAACATTCAAACCAGGCCAGGAACTATCTTAGGACAGGCAGAGGGAATGAGCAGGAAGGAGTCCAAAGCTACATGCAGCTAGTCATGGTCACAGCTAACAGTGGTGCACAGGAGACCAAGGGTTTGTCTGCACTACAAAATTAGGTCAACTTCAGTTAGGTTGACCTACAGCCACCACAGCAATTAAATCAGCTGTTGGTGTCCATACTGCTCTCCTTCTGCCAGTGGTGCACATTCTCACCAGGAGCGCTTGCACCAACTGAAGTGGGTCATTGTGGGGCAATGACAGCCACACAGGGCTCACAAAATGTGAAATAATAGCAGCTGTGAAACTGACAAAAATGTCAGTTTCACTGCTGGTTGGCACCCTGCTGTGAAATTGAGCCCCCTGGCTCAGACCTGGGCCCCAGGTCAGGGGGCAGTTCCAGCTGTGTGCCCTATGCCCGACTGACAGCTCAGGCTGTCAGCACTGGGAAGAGGGGGGAGGGAGACTCCAGCTGTCAGCTGACATCTGGGGCTGACAGCCAACAGGCAACCTAAGTAACGCAGCATCTATACAGACACTGCATCACCCTAAGCACTCCTCCTCCACCACAGGTGGAGTTATTAAGTCAGTGTAGTGGGGAACTTATATCGGCAGGAGCCCCACTGTAGTGTAGACACTGACAGAGTTAGGTTGACCTAACTGTGGTGCAGACCAGGCCCACGCCTGGGGAGGCAAAGTGAAAAGAGCAAGAGGGCCAAGCCCTGTGTGGCTCCAGGGATCAGCACAGTGCAATGGACAGGACCAAGCCCTTGCTCGCAGGGACTCTGGCACCTGCAGAGCTAGGGGCCAGCCCAGCTGACCAGGCACTCGGATCCAGGAGGGTGAAAGGCAAAACTGAGCCTTCACCTTCCCCTTCCAGCAGGAAGGAGAAGCCTATTAGCTACTTTACGGAGAGTGGCTGTGAGCTGTTGTAGCCAGAGGGAAACCAGCCCAGGGTGCTGCGGGAGGGAGAGGAAGGGTGGCAGGGAGCCGTGCAGATGGAGAGTGCTGGTGAGGAGAAGGTGTTCAGCAGCTGGGGTGGGGAGGCTGGGATCAAGATGCTGGACAAACACGGCCAGGCAGGGGTGGAGGCAGCAGGGCGTGTCCAGCTGTAGGCAGGCAGGAGGTGGATGAAGGGAGGGGTGGTCAGGAAAGAGTGCGTTGCTGATGAGGGCACAGGTTGGACTTCAAATGGGAGGGTTGGGGGGGTGCCCTCCTGACAGAAACCTGGGGCCAAGTGGCTGAGGGTGGCACTGTGAGCCCTGTCTGACCAGACCGGGTCCTCCCAGAGACACAGACACACAACCCTTTGCAGGCAACTCTATGAGCTAGTCCAGGGCCTGGCTCTGGCAAGGGCCCAGAGGGCTTGGCCAACCTATGGGAGGAGCTGTGGAGGAGATACAGGTTGAATCCTCCAGGGCAGGCCGAGGCCAGAGGTCAAAGAGTGGGAGCTGGGAACAGCCCCAGGGTGTGGCTGAGGCCAGGGCCAGCTCTAGGCACCAGCAAAACAAGCAGGTGCTTGGGGTGGCACATTTCTAGGGGTGGCTTTCTGGAGCTGGCTATGCTGCCCCAGGAACGTGCCCCCACCGCCCCAGCTCGCCTCCGCTCCACCTCCACCTCCTCCCCTGAGCGCGCTGCCGCCGCTCCGCTTCTCCCCGTCCCTCCCAGGCTTGCCGCACGCGAAACAGCTGTTTGGCGCAGCAAGTCTGGGAGAGAGGGTGGAGAAGCCGAGTGGCGGCGTGCTCGGGGGAGGTGGCGGTGGTGGAGCGGAGGTGAGCTGGGACAGGGAGAGGGTCCTCTACCCCCCCCCCCGTTACTTCCTGCACTTCCGCATTTCCCCCCCACCCTCACTCACCTCCGCTCCGCCTGCTCCCCTGAACGTGCTGCCTCTCCCTCGCCTGAGAGGGAGGGGAGAGAAGCGAAGCGGTGGCGTGTTCAGGGGAGCAGGCGGGCGGAGTGGAGGTGAGCTAGGGCGGGGGGGAGCTGCAGGAGGCAATGGCGGGGGGTGGAAATGTGGCACGCTCAGAGGAGGAGGCAGGGCCGGGGATTTGGGGAAAGGGTTGGGAAGGGGCAGAGTTGGGGCAGAGCCTGGGACGGGGAGGGAGGCATAAAAAAAATAGCAGGGGCGGCCAAAAAATTTTTTGCTTGGGGCAGCAAAAATCCTAGAGCTGGCCCTGGCTGAGGACCAGTGATGCTAGCGATAGGCACCCTGGGACACTGTACTGAGACCCTCAGTGACACATGGGGCTGAGTGACACACTGTGTCTGGCCACCCTGGCATTCATAGCCTGCCCTTCCCCTCCATCACCCCCTCCCTGCTGCCATGCCCCCCACCGCCCAAATTGTTATACTCGGGAAAGTTTGTTGACTTTCCTGCTCCTACCCATGCCTTGTCCCTTCCAAAGCCTCAAAACCCCATACCCCCTTTCCCACCACCTGCAGCCAACAAACACCCACCCTTCAACCTGGGACCCCAATCACCCATACACACCCCACTCCTGTTCTCACCCTCAACCCCACGCACACCCCATTCTGGGGACCCCCAGTCACACCACACACTCCTCCTTCCAGAAACTCTCAACACAGACACCGACGTCCCCTACCTACCCGGATCCCAGCAGCTCCTCACCGGCCTCCGCGCCGCGCTCGGAGTCAGCACCGCCCCGACCCCTCTGCGGCATATTCATGAGAAGCAAAACAAGCGCAGGGCGGCTCCGCCCTCTGTTGCATATTCATGAGCTATGCAAATAACTACACCCTGGGTACTCTCACGTGTGATCTTGCTGAAGCCATCATCCAACAGGCAGGGTTAGCCATAGAGGGTGGAGCTAGAGGGGCCCCTCTCCTGTCCCACAGGTGGGCTGCGTCCTCCCCAGCTGTTACTGGAGTACCTGTCTCTCCACTCCTAGTTATCATTAGGGCATGACCCCTTCATCCCTACCACCACAGCCTGGAATGTCCCTGGGGCTTCTGTCAGCTGGAGAGCCAGGACCCCACCGGCACTAATCCCTAAGTGCGGGAGGGATCTCTTCCCCAGCTCATGTGTGTGGAGTGTGTGTGTATTCACCCTAGCTGGTATCTAGGGTGATCACAACAGGCAACTCCATGCCTGCCAGCTGCAGAGGGCTGGCTACTAGCCCCCACAGGTTGGTACCAGATGTCCTGCACCCAGAGAGCCAGTGCCCCCTAATAAATAGAATCACTGCAATCCTTGATGCCCAGCTCCAGAGACATCTTAACTATTCACCCATCCTTGTCCCCTTGCTCCCCTAAAGCCTGCTCCTCTGTCCTCCCCCCTAATAAAGGCTCCTTGGTGTAAGAGTGACATGAACTTTAATGCTGGAGGGGCAAGGCCAGAGGCCGGAGTCCCCACTCCGGATACACTCATGCCCACCTTGCTCAGTTTGTGAAAGCCTGTTCGTTAATTAGCATCTCTTGGGAAACCACCAGCAAGGAGGACAGGTCGGGGCAATAGCTCAGGGAGAGGACATTTGTCCGCATTGTGCTAGACTTAAAACCCTCAATTTGTTTCACCCCCATTCAGACACGTCAAGTGTCGCTCACTGGGTGTGAGACTCACTCTTTAGCATGCTGTTTCACTCTCACATTCCTAAGCTTCTCTCATTTTGAGTAAATAGACAAAGATTTAAAATATTTTTACTTGGGCCCAGCAAGAGACAATACATCCAGGGCTTGGAAAGCCTCTTTCTAAGCTTGTGTACTGTGGTGACCATGGAGACTACAGGCTTGATCTGTAGGAGGGCGGGGGGGGGGGGGGGGAGGGAGGGAGCTACCTGATGATCAAGAAATTATGGGTTTGCCAAAAAACAAGCAGGACTTGATTGAAAGTTTGCAGGTTCTGCAAAATAACAGTTCAAAATTTAAACCACACTGGCCAAATTCATGTCCTCCAGGCTCTCCAACCATCTAGGGTTTTATTTCAACCAGCTAATAATTATTAAAATCCACTGCTTTACATTGCATAGAGACTTCTGAAGTGCCCTAGACTTTAGTATGAATTAGGACATTTAAGTGTTTCATATGCAATATTAATCAGGGTACACTTTAAAACAAACTATTAAGTGCTGGTTACATTAAAATCCTGGACTGCTGGGTGGCACCAAGGAGGAAAGATGAGGGCCCCTGTCTTAAGCAATGACCTAACACATCACCTGAAAAATCTCTTTGGGCCTGTAAATCTCACTCTTAAGAACAGCCAACCCTTGGACTCTCTGCACCACATTGCCCCTGCCAGGCAGCCACCCCTCATAAGACCAACCAGTCTCATCATGGCAGCTGCTTACATTGCCCAGCACCCAGGGAAAAACAGCCCCCTAATTACAGCTGTGATAGGATTGCAGGATGAACACAGGAAGGGCAGAGGCTGTTGTACCCATTCCATGCTATAGCCTTGTGTGATGGGAGAGGTGAAAAGGGGAAGCCGCCGGGGAACAGAGGTAAGGCTGTGGTCTGATTTTGATTGTTGGGTTTAGGGTGCAGGTGTTGGGTGGCTGCAACATCCAGGTGGGCAGACGTCCCTGCTGGTTTTAAACTCCACAACATTACTGGACCCGTGTTCTAGCATAGTACATGGTGCTTGAAGAGAGGAGTTGCCATGGCTGCCTGCAGCCCTTCCTTCCCATTTACTCCTGGCAGCTGCGGAGTTCTGGTAAATAACCCACAGAAATTAGGCCAAAGGAAATGGGACCCTGGAGAATTTCCCATGGGAGCCAGCTTCCATCTGCACAATTAACCTGCTGCAGCCTTGGTTATAAAAGCCACTGCCTCTGGGGCACATTCCTCTCCCTCCCACAGCACACACAGCTCTCTTCCCTCTCTGAGAGCTGCAGCCTGGCAGAAGTGCTGATTCAATTAGAGTGAGGCAGAGTGTGCCCTCTGACACACAGGTGATTGGAAGTGGAGCCAAAGACACTTTAATGGGGCACTGAGGTCCGATAATAGGCTCTAATCAGATCAGGCATCCTTCCTCCAGCTCAGATTAGTTGTCCTGGCAGCAAGGCACACTGAAGAAAGGCTTGTGATGGCTGTAATGGAGATGGATGCTGCATCCACCTGCTGGTCAGCGCCTCACACTCCTCATCATCCACTCTCGGAGCTGGTCAGAGCTCCAGGCCCAGAAGGGATAGCGATGAGGCTCTCAGCCCTCCATGCAGCCCTAAGGCTAGCAGAACCAGGTGGACGGGAAGTTTTGGATGCCAACCAATTGCCCACAGCTCCAAGACACTGCATCCCTCAGCAACACGCAGCTGGGAGGTACTGGGTATGTCAAGGAGGGAAGGGCTTCCCCAGCCTGGGTCACAGCAGCCCCTGCTGTCCTAGAGTTCCCTACATTAAGCCATCTTGGGAACCCTCCCAGCTTCGCTGAGGCTGGTGATGGCCCCAGCAGCCAGAGAGGGGAGGGAAGGGAGCCCCTAACACTTGACTAAACCTCATTGCTATCGACTGCCTCCTTCATTAGGTGGCTGCCCAAGGCGCCAGATGGCCTTTAATACAATCAGGGCCACAGCTTACTGGAACACAGTGAGATAAGGCTCTGGCCCATATTCAGCCCCATGCTGCAGGCAGAGCCGCTCCTGCTGCGATGTACGGGAAATGCGGCCGTCGGGAGGGGAGACCGTAGCTGCAGAGTGGCCTCTTTCCCCCTCTGGCAAGAGGGGGCTTTGCCTGCTCTAGAGGGGAAGCTCTGTCGGCACTGGGAGATCCGTCCATCTGTCCCCTGGCCACGCTCCAACAGACAGGAGCGCCGTCCGAAGTCGCTTGGTTTTTATTCCGTCCAATTGCCGTGTGAACAGACCAGAAATACAAAAATAAACAGAACATAAAAAACACAGATGGAGCCCGACTACAGGCCAGGGGATGGACCCCTCCCAGCCAGCCAGCTCCCCCCTGCAGGGCCTGTGGGCCATGCCCCCCACCGTTTGCTGGGAGGGCCTCCTGATAGGACACAGGGGGGCTCCCACAGCATGGAGAGAAAGGAGGGATGAGCCCTCTCCCCTGCTCTCTAGCACCCTGTGCTTTTATCCAGAGTTTAGCAAAGGTCCTGCAGTTCCATGGGGGAGGAGGGTCAGGGAAGGTCCGGAAGTAGGGCTGGTTCGAGCCAATGGAGCAGCCACGTCACCCCTTCAGCCCATGCCCCTGGCAGAAGGGAATTGGGAGCACTGGGGAGAGAGGGTATGTCTAGGCCTCAACTCAGTGACCTGTGCAGTCAGGAAAGGGGCAGGGCTAAAGGGAAGGGTTGCTCTAATCCGAGCCAGATGCTGAGTCCTCCATGCTGGGGGGCGTGCTAGCGATTTCCTCCTCTTCTGAGTCCTGTGGGGGGAGGGGAAGTGTGTTAACAGGAGACCACATACAGCCACAGCTGCCAATTGGGGAGGAAGCCCCTCCTGCCCCACCCGCACCTACCTCCTTCTTGTTGTCACCAGAGCTCTCCTCACTGGAGACGAACTCCTTGCTCTTGAAGCTCTCACCCAGCTGCTTAGCGGGGGACTTGGCTGGGGCCTTGGATGGTGCTGCCTTCCTCTCTGCTTTCCCCTTCCCCTGCTGCTTCTTCTTCTTGGATTTCTCTCTGTGCAGGGTGGGAGACAGCGAGCAATCAGCAGTCACCCCGAGCCCCTACTGCACTGGTGGAGGTGCCACAGGACTGGGAGGAAATAGACAGTCCTCCACTCCTTGCGCTCCACATGGGCCACACCTTTCCCCGTCATCTCGCGCCTACCCTCCAGTGAGATGGGGCCAAGGCCCTTCGTCACCCACCGCAGTGTTTCCAGCAGCTCAGCCAACTCACTTTTTGGAGTTCTCAAATTTGCCCCCCTCGCTGTACTCCTTCATCGCCTTCTCATAGTCTCTTTTGGCATCTTCCGCCTTGCGATCCCACTCCTGCTACCAGAACACAGAGTTGGTAATGACCCTCCTTGCTCACCTGCCCACAGTTTAACTTCTGATCCCCATCAGATACAAAGCTACCCCAAGCCTGCTTTGCCAGCCCCCCAAAACCAGAAGCCCATCCCCATCCCCTCCCTAAACAAGACACAGCCTCTGCCCCATGTTGGGGTGGCCTCCAAGACCTCTTCCATTTGGTTCCCCAAGATTTCCCAAGCCAGAATACTACCCCTACCATCCCCAGACACAGCCCTGCCAGCCCACACCCACACAGCCCCCTTCCTCCTCCCCCAAACAACCACACCACCAAAAGAGAGTTAGAACATGCCCCTGACCCCCAACCAAGGCCACCTCTTTCTTCTCCTTGGACATGCCCTTCCAGAGCTCCCCAGCCTTCTTGGACAGGTCAGTGATGCTGATGCCAGGGTGGTCTGATTTGATCTTCTCACGGCTGGCATTCAGCCACAGCATGTAGGCAGACATGGGCCTCTTTGGGGCGTTGGGGTCTTTCCCTTTCTTACTCTGGCAAGAGGAGGTGGAGGTACAGAGATAGAACAAGAAAGGGATCCATCAAGAAGTGGCTCTAGAGTTCCTTGGACCAGAAGCTCTGGCCCCCATGGCAAAGGCCCCTTGTGCCTCCCATTAACACTGGGGCAGGGCATTTGACATCCCAGCCCTTCCCCCCAGCAGCCAGACACACTCATGGGGCCCAGGCAGCACAAGACTAAGACAAGGCAGCGAAGGCCAAGGAGCCTGACTGAGCCAGCGGGCCCAGCTGGGGCAGGCTGTCAGGTGAGGT